GTGCCGGCGGGGATCGAACCCGGGTTACTCGCGTTCTGTTATATTTACAGCGAGCGTTAACCATCTGAGCTACCACGGTTTTGTTACAAATAATGTAAAGTAACATCATATATACATCTCACTGCTGAGCACAGATTTCCTCATATTTCTGAGGGAGTTTTGTGGAAATTAACAAATTCACGTCTTCGAAATATTTTTGTTTTCGTATTTTTCAGACATGTAGCTTTTTACACGATGATTTCCTTCACCGCTGAGCACGTAGTAAATCAGCACTTAAAATTGCAACTAACAATTTCATTGGTGCCGACGGGGATCGAACCAGGGTTTTTCGCGTACTATGAAATTTACAGCGACCGCTTAGCCCCGGATCTAACACGGCTCGGCACCCTCATGTGGTAATGGTGTAAGAGACTGTTTTAAATGTGGAAATTTTTTATGGCTTCCTAAAAATATCTAACGTGAAATATTCAGACCAGACGGCCAACAACGTCAAAGGTGCAAGAAGTTTGATACTTGATACTGCATGTCAATTAAGGTAAATCCGCCCTACAACGGTACATATTGATTAGTAGACTTTTGCGGGATGGAAAGGAGGCTTAAATAAAAATAATTGTTAGGATGTAATACAAAACAACTTCCTTCCTAAATAACAACTTAACCCGCACTTTCGGTTACATCTTTTTAATTAAAATTAGAGAAATTAGAGCTCACTTTTGACCTCCATCTGGCCCGAGGGCAAAGATGAGTTCTACGATGAAGCGAACTTGCCGAGGAGAAGCCTGCAAACACGAACCTTATAGAGGTTCAGGTTATACAAACTCGGAAAAAAAAAGCCGGCAGAGCATTCCACTTCTTGGCTGTTCGCATTGTGAAAGATAACTTACAGCGCTTAGTGCAACATTAGTTACCTGAGTAGTAGATGTACCTGCAGTACATCTAGTACTAAGATAAGAGATTGGAGATGCCGGACAGTTGCACAGTTCTTAACAGCAATATCTCTTGGGCCACCTTTATAAATATGTTAATTGTAATTATGTTTTGTTAATAGTTAACTTTGGTATTACGTGAAGTCGCTGGCACTGGTATGTGTACACTTTTAATTAAGTACAAACTTTAATATTACTATAATAAAGTTAAATGTAGGTGTTTATATCTTAGTGCTGGTGACTGTACCTAACTACGTACTCATTATAAGCTGTTGTTGCTTAGCCTCTAATCGCGTCCGATAATTTATGTTTATTTTCACTATATAATCTGCCGATAACTTGTTTATATTATATTTTTCTAATATTCCATTGAAATACACACTACATTTTTAAACTTCGTAGTTTAACCGCCAATCCACCTGCTAGCGTGACGAAAATGAACTTCAAGCTATGCATGCCACCAGCTGGCATATTCTATTATTTTAAACATGAAAAATAAAAATGTAAGGTATCATCATTATTACAGCTTTTTAAGAAAATATTTTGTCATAGCAAAACAAGTCCACTGCCGAACATAGTCCTCCTCGCAATGTCACAAAACACAGTACTGAGCCACCTCCATTCATCAACTTCCTGCATCTAGTCTTACCAGACAGTCACTCGATCTAGTGGGATCCGCCCTACACTTGCTTACAGGTGCGTGGTTACCATTAAAGAACCTTTCTCCCTCATCGGTTAGGTTAAGATTAAAATTCTTATCATTAATATCTAATTGATAATTAGAACTTTTATATATTATACCCAAATTTTAAGTTTACTTCTGGACCTTACTAAGATTGTGCCAGAAGCCATTTATTAGTTCGAAGAACTTGAAAGGGCACAAACCACCAACGTTATCACACTACCAGGGTGGTCTGAAAAGATTTCGACCTCAACGTGAAGATGGCAGAACTCGTTAATAAAAGCTAGTGAATATAGTTGTGCATTTTTTGACAGTTATGCACAATTTCAGCCATTTTGGATGCGTAATTGTTATTTGACAGTCATTTGAGTGAGTTGGTGTAAGTGTTTTTGTGAAAATGGAAAAAATTGAGTATCGAGCTGTCATTTAACTTTTATTTTTGAAAGGCAATATGCCTACGCAAATCAAATATGAGATGAAATCTGTGTATGAACTCTACACCATCATATACCACAGTAAAATTTGGGCAGTTGAATTTAAGGGTGACCATAAGAGCTTGGGAGACGATGAACGTTCCGGACGTCCAAAAACTGCAACTACTGACGATGACATTGCTAAAATTTATCAATTCTTTTTATTTATAGGAGGGTGGGCAAACGAGCATACGGCTCCCCTGATGGTACGTGATTACTGCCGCCCATTAACAACTGCAACACTAGGGGAATTGCAGGTGCTTTGCCGACCTTTTTAAAAGGAGTAATCTCTTTTCCTGAAGGTTTTTAAGTCGTATCGGTCCTGAAAAATCGCTATCTTTAATCTTCTATTTGGACGGGTTAGATAGAAGGGAGCATCGCTGGGAGAATTGTGTAGAGTTACAAGGAGACAATGTAGACTAAAATAAAAATAAATTTTAAGAAAAAATATTTAGTGTCTTTGTTAGGTTGGAAACTCTTCAACTAAGTAGATTTTATCCATCAGTCGGTGCTAAAACCTTATTTATTAATCAGAAGGATGTACCCCCTGCAGGTTGATTTTTGAAGAAACAGTTGGCATAAATCCCCTTACGCTTTTTCCTAATAACACAGCTGTGGTACTACGTAGCGACTGCCAGTAAACCAGACTAAATTCATATTTTAATATTTTAGTCTTAAACAATACAATAGGATTGACAAAGAACAAAAACAAAAATAGATTTATTAGGTAAATAACGAGAAATGGTGTTAAAATAATGTCATCAAATTCTCTTCGTCACCGTTAACTTCATACTTATCAGTTCTTTTTACGGGTGCTTAGAAAAATATGGCTTTTGAAAATATTAGTTATTCTATTCAAAACCGTAAAAATGTAAGCATCCATGTAAATTTGTAGATGGTAAAGTGTTTAAAAACAAAGTGTTTTTTGCTATTGCTAATAATTTGACTTAATTTTGGCATAAATACACATAGTATAAGTTATTATTGTTAAGTAATTTGTCAAAGTATTCCAATTTAATGGTAAGGATCGGATACCAGAATTGTGTTAACCTGAATGTGAAAACATTAAATTTACAGGTTCTCCTAAAGCAAGAACGTAATAGAACTTGTTCCAAGCTGAATCAGACAAGTTTTCAAACAATGGTCGCTCGTGAAATAGGAAGAGTTGTTTAGGTTTTGTCTTTTACGATAAAATACACCTTTTTCTATTGATTACTATACTTCACTTCTATAGATGATCAATTAAAAACAATTGATTATCGTTTCGTGAAATCAGCGATGACCTTCTTGTGATCCATTCAGTAAATACCAAGACGCTTATTTACGAGAATAATCTCGCATTCTTGTTGAAACAATACTTCACGACTAGCGAACTAGTTTTAATAGTTAAAATAATATTTCAACTTAGTAATTTAAACAATGTTAAGTAATGCAATGTAAAGGGGTTTTATTGTTACCATTTTGAGATAGCATAATATTAAATTATACTCACAATCGCTGGAAATAATATTTAGGGTTTTTCGTGTTATAATAGCAATAAAATTGTACGTTTTTAATATAATAACTTTATTATCATTGTCATGATTATCATCATCGTCATTAACACAGCCACTTACAAGTCTAGCATAGACCTCTTCCCAAAATGCCACAGAACACGATCCTAAGCCACCGGTTTTTCTGATGCCATCACTAAACTCATACTTCTTAATTTCACTAAGAATGTAATATATTATTCATAGTGTAACGCCCCCTTCTGTTATTTAACTTATTATGTATTTCCCCTTTATATACAAAATGATATCTAAATATGTGACCAGGATTAATAAAATATGTTTTGATCTTTCTAAATGATCTTTCAAAAGGTTTAATAATAGACCATTTGTAATATTTTGGCGTGATCGTCTTAGTTACAACCCTTATTTACGTTTTTTTTTATAGAATAGGGTGACAAACGAGCACACAGTCCACCTGATGGTAAGTGGTTACTGCGGCCCATAGACATCCACATCTATCCTCCATTAAAAATCAAAATGCAGATGCGTTGTCACCCGTGAGGACTGAGATGGAATGCCTCGTTTCCAGTAAAAAGGGTCTCCGGTTCTCTACACTCACCATACGAAATACAGCAGCATTAAGCTACTATTTCACGCTGGTATTCTGTGAGAGCGTGGTCCTTCCCCGGTCGAGCCGACCCATTCTTGCTACAACTATACTGCTAATATAACTGCAGCAATGCTCTACCACGTATAACGTTAGTAACTTAGTTCTTTTAGGTGTCTTTTGGAAGAATGCATATTCACTAGAGTAATTGAAAGCTGTTGGTATTGCTTTACAAGCTAAGTGAACCCCGTTCACGAAGACAGGGCTCGAAAAAGGTTAAGAACATAAAACATCTCTATTTCACTTGTATCAGGTTTACATTATTAATTTATTATTAATTATCCCTTCCCGCTCGGAAAAGGCTCACAATATGTATATCCCTCTGCAGCGTAATGTAGACCGTAAGTAACATACCGTTCAAAGTCCTACCAAATTCGTAAGTATAATTTGAAAACGTTATCATGCATTGTGGCCTAAGGTCTACAGCCTGAACGACTGGCATAGTACAACAAAACATCACCAGATGAAATTACTGGGTTCAAAACGCAATTTAAATCACAATTGTTTGTGATAACGGAACGTGACGGTTGAGTGCATTTTGAGAAAAGTAAAAATAATATAGTTTTGCAAGTGATTTTGTGTATTTTTTTTTGTGTATTGAAGAGGTAAGTGTTTGTATTATACGATGTAATGTTACATTTGGCAATTTTTATGGATTTATTTGTTTTGTTAGTATTTATTATTTGTTGCCCGTAGGCTACGTCAGGCTAAAAGTGTTTGATACCTGTTTTATTTATTATTGTTTTTATTTTCTTACAGTATGTCTCATAAGCATTCCCTTCGTGACGAAAACATTACTTCTGCATTGCTTGATGGTGCAGATGGTGAGGATGGCTTAGATTACGATGACGACAGCCTCACAGACCCAGATTTTGTACCAAATTCAGAAAACTTTGAGGATATCGTTGTGGACTCCATAATAAAATCTCTAAAAGCCTATCATGAAAGTACTTCGATTGGGTTAGAAAGTGCACCGTCTTGCGATACCTCCGATTGACCTTCTCAATTCAAGAAATTAAGTGAAAAGCCAGCAAAACTAAACTTACACTGGAAAAGGAAGAACTTGGAACAGAATTAACAGCTGAGGTTTACAGGAAACACAACCCTGGGCCCTGATCTTCTAGAACTAGATACTCCGATACAATTCTTTTTCCACCTGTTTCCACAGGGACTAATAAAAAAATTGTAAACAGACTAATTTATATCAAGTGCAGAAAGATCAGAATAGCACTTTTCGGTTTTCTGAGGAAGACGTTAGGCAATTCGTAGGTGTGGTGAATATAATGTCTTTCGTGCAATTACCTCGACTAACAAACCCGTGCAGTTCCATACTAAGAACAACTGTAATACAGCAATCCACGCCATTGAACAAATTTGAAAAAATTTGCCAGACATTGCATTTCAATGACAATAGTAAAAACCTGCCAACGCAACATCTTTATCATGACCGGATTTATAAAATATTTTTTAAATGAAGCTTATAGAAAAGTCCCTTTGGAAGAACGTCTTTGTGTTAACGAGCAAATGTGCTCGACTAAAGCACGAAATTTGTTGAAGCGCTACAGAAGGTCGGCAAGACCAGACTGGCCACTGGCCACAATGGTCTGATAAAAAAATCACATGTAAGTTTCCGAAGTGTCATGGATTTACTCGCAATGTCTGTGAAAAAAGGCCTTACCTACAGCCTATACGAAAACAAAAAAATATTTTAGTAACTTTCACCTTTCTTAAGATGGGCTGCAGAATTGTAATTTTGACCTTTTATCTCAGTGTTGCTCCTGCAACACTCCCTATTTTTGTAATTTTCTTGATAAATATTTAAATAAATCAAAAATTCAAAAACACGTGTATTTTCTTTTTTTTATTATTATTATGTCAAATCCGAAAAAAGGAAAAATGGCTAAGTTTATGAGTGACAGAGGGATATATATAAAATACCCGATACAAGGGGTTTCGCTCTCCGACGACGTTTGTGGCGACACACGCCGTGCGCGGTGAGTGAGAGCGCCATCCATTTAACGCGCTCCCCCTAAAGGGATTCTAAGTTGGAAAAGGGACCGTAGTCTACATAAAAATAACTGCCAAACCAGTAAAAGAGGGCTTGGCCTCGTGGTAGTGCGTAAACACAAACATCGACTGAAGTCGCACATGTCAATGCGTGTAAACTCCATACAGAATAAAAGCAAATCCAGCTACAGTGAATGTACGTCACACGATTTAGGCAAATAGGCATACTGGCCATAAGCCCTCCGTGAGCGCCACCACCTGCCAGACCGCCATTCCTGCAGACGTGATGTAAGTGTATGGCATGATCACCGATTGCATGATCAGTACGGCTACTAGCCACCGAGCTTGTCATGAGTCTACTGCTCACCTCAATGGAATGGAGTCCAACGTTGTACGGCTTTCGGCTGCTTCCTTGAGAATCTCCTTGGATCCTCCCTCCAGCTGCCACTCGCATGAGGTCGACAGATATGCTTCAGCAACCAACACAACGACAGATATAGCAAAAAGTAAGTTATAAGATATTAGTAATAATTTGACATCAGAAAGGGTTTGTGTCACTGACGTTGAGAATATGTATTTTCGATCATGTTTGTCACACCCACCATCAAGTAGCATTCAATCATTAAACGGTGGGAGTGTTACAGAGTGATATTATTACGCTGTTATATAAAACATCATGGAGGTCAGACAGTCTGCAGCCCCGTAATAAAGGGAACCGAATTTGGCAAAGTTACTTAGGTGTGAGTCAAAACAAGACACAGAGAGCGCCATTGAGAATATCGTCCCACCAAACAACCATCGCAGTGACGCAATGCTGCAGTACGCAACAAGCATCAATACGACTATCGTTAGGCTAACACCATCCCAAGGTCGCCATTCATTCCAGCAGACATCACCACCCGCATGCCTCCATTGACCAGAACCACAAGAATGCATTGAATCAGGCGCAGCACCCTCGCAAATCCATCACAAGACGCAATACCGCAAGTAGCAGTAAGCATCAATGCAACTATCATACGGATGGCGCCCCCTCACAACACACCCACATGATCCTTATCCTAAAGCCCTGTGTGAACAAACGGCCTATTACTAAACCATATAATAAACATATATATATATATATATATAATTTGATATATAAATGGGAAATAACTCCTAATAATATATTATAATACAATATCAATAATAAGGGGAGGAGCGTTACAGTACCATACATTATAATTCATTCAATCCCAAAAAATGCTGTTAGACATGTTAAATCTTACTTAAGCTCTATAAAGATAGCAGTGCAAAGTCAGCAGGAACTTTCAAATTTAATTGTAGGTAATTTGTTGATAATTTGTTCCAAATATTACGATTTTGTTGCTCTAACTAGTTTTGGGAAAATTTGATTTACTTCTATCTTTACATTAAGTTAACGCTAAAAACTTTAAATCAACACTGCCATAGCGGATAAAATGGGATAATCTATTGCTAACTAATTGCTGAAATATATCCAAAAATATCTAAAAATTAAACTAAACTTAAATTAATGAGTATTTTGCTGTTGATTGTAGTATAGATCAATAACGCTAACAGAACCTATAAAATCAAAATCGGTTGATAAGCTGCATCAAATTGAATAAAACTATTATTTACGGATTTTATTGCGTTTAATTAAACGCGATAAAATCCGTAAATAACAGTTTTATTCCATGTGTAGTGTTCGCGTAAATTTAAGAAATCATTAGCAGCATCGAGCAATAAGTTACAAATTATAAGCCAGCAACATATAAAACTGATCTATGAGCTCAATTGAGTAGTAAGTTAGTAACTATTTGTGTTAATATAGCATTAATTTCTTGAATTTAGTTTAAAAATTTGAAAATTTTGTTTTCTTTTCTTGAACATTTTACTATATTTAGTATTTTTTGTGTACATGCTAAATTTACAGAATGATTTCTCACGGCAGATGTTTTGTTGTTGTTCAGTAATGGAAGCAGCGAATCATATGGAACTAGCAACAAAATAATATCAGTCGATAATATGCACCGAATAATTGTTTAAAAATTATTATTGTACTTGCCAAATTTACAAAAGATTAATAGAAAATAAGATAGCAGATATTTTGTTGCTGTTCAGTTAGGGAAGCAGTAAGTCATAAAGAACCAGCAACAAAATAAAATCGATCTATGAGTGATAAAGAGCCAGCAACAAAATAGTATCGATCGATAAGCTACACCAAGTAATTAAATATGTAGGCGCATCTATAAAATGCCGGTTGGATCTCATGACTAGTTGGAATTGAGGGTACGTCGAGAAAGCCTCACACTTGCTTGTGTAGTATAAAGTTGTGGCGGCGCTGTCGTCGCGCCGCAAACGAAGCACACCAAAGCCTTAATCACGTCGGGGTCACCACTGTGGCAGTAGAAGGAAAAGGGCAGCGTTGGCCGCTCCCCGGGCAGAACACCTTGCCGGGCGGGAGATATCCCCTTTTCCTTCTACGGCCACAAAGTTTAGTGTAGGCGCAGAGCGTGAGAGATTCCGCTTGAGTCATTTTACGAATGAAGTCATTCTACGTGTGCTAAGGTAGAGTCGTTGTTCTGTCCGTTGTGGTGATTCTTCTGGTGCAGGCAAGGATGATGGTGTTACTGAGAGGCTGTGCTGTATTACGTTGAGATGGGTAAGGTGGCTGTTGGTTTGCATACTTTGGTGTTATCATGTAATTGGGTCCTTCACATTTCACTGGTGTGTAATTGTGATGTGGACATACTGCGGTATGGGAAAACTGTAATCATTCTATGCAGAATGTTTAGTGCGTTACGCTGTCCTATTATTGATAATGATAAATTGCGCAAGCAAAAAAGCAAGTTGAACATCAATTCTCACACTTTTACCATTTTTAATAATTAATGCTATCTGTTATTTTCCACAGAATTGGCTTATCCTGTTGTTCTTTCCGACAAATAAAAATTATTTGTGTATATGCTAAATTTACAGGATATTTTTCGAAAACAAGACGGCAGATATTTAGTTACTGTTCAGTAGTGGAAGCAGCAAGTTATAAAGAGCTAGCAACAAAATTAAATCGATCGATAAGCTAGACGTAGTAATTAGTTAGTAATTCCTTGTTAGGTGCTTTATTAATTTCAAAATTTTTGAAAAAAAAAAATATAGCAGATATATTGTTGCTGATCAGTAGATTTTTACATAGATTTATCTTTTTGGTGAGCCATTCTAATCTCGCTCACACTGTTGTCCAGGATATCATCGGAATAGTGTCGGATAAGACTTGCTCATGGATTGGGATTAGAATGACTCTCCAGCACCTTAAAAACGGCAGGGCCCCAGGCGAGCCTGAAAGTACAGCGGAGCTTCTGAAAGCGGGGGAATATCGGTACATAAAGTCCTACAAAAGCTCTTCAATACCGTCGTCCATGTTCTTGTTCTTCAAGAAAGGCGACAAAGCTCTCTTGAATAACTACAGACCGATTTCCCTTCTAAGCCGCGTCTACGTGCTGTTTTCGAGAGTCATTACGAATCGTCTCGCACACAGACTCGACGACTTCCAGCCTCCCGAACATGCCGGTTTCCGAAAAGGCTTCAGTACCATAGACTAAATACATACCCTGCGGCAGATTGTACAGATGACCGAAGAGTACAACTGCCACTGCCTGGTGTAGGTGGACTATGAGTAAGCCCTTGATTCCGTGGAAATTTGGGCGGTGCTACAGTCCCTTCAGCGGTGCCAAGTTGACTGGCGGTATATCGAAGTATTGAAGTGTTTGTAGAGTAGGGCTAAGATGACTATCCGAGTACAGAACTAGAGTACAAAACCTCTACAACTACAGAGAGGTGTAAGACAGGGTGACGATATATCCCCAAAACTCTTCATCGCTGCTTTAGAAGACGTTTTCAATCTACTGGACTGGAACAGATACGGTGTTAACATTACTGGCGAGTATATCACTCACCTTCGATTTTCCGACAATACAGTCCTTACGGCAGCAT